CTACCTGGGTGACAGAGTGAGACTCCTACTCAAAAAAAAAAAAAAAAAAAGAAGGGCTGATTGGGGAAGGTAAAGTGAGGACATTTAGTTGAGATTTCCTGAGTTTGAGGTATTTCTGGAACCTCTAAGTGGAGATGTTCAGAAGTCAGTTGGAAGCAAAGAAAGTTCTGGACTAGAAATATAGATCTAAGAATCATTAGCAAATACACGGTAGCTATTTTTCCCAGAAGAGAAAATAGAGTGATCAAAGCAAAGGGTGTAGAACAAAACCCTAAGCAATAGTTAAGGGAAGGACAGAGGAAGAAAAAAATTGCAAAGAGAACCAAAAACGGGCCAGCAATGAGAGGAAACCTGATTTCCTGCAAAGACGCAAGAAGTTCACCAGGAGTGACAAACTGGGAAGCACCCTGGTTTCAGCAAACAAGTCTGTAGTGACCCCGTGGAGAGCAGTTTCAGTGGAGCTATGGGGATATAGCACCAGACTGCAGTGGATCTAGGAGTGGGTGGGAGGAGAGGGAGTGGAGACAGCTGGCACGGACGCTTTTTTCAAGCGGCTTGGCCAAGAATGGAGAGAGAGATGATGATAACTTAATAGTGTCTCTCTCTCTCTCTCTCTCCCTCTCTCTTTCAGTGCTAACGGAGGATCGGAAGAAAATACGGGGCAAAGGAAATAAGTCCCACGGAAAGGAACGGGATCGAGTCAACTGCAGACGTTGGGATTGCCCTTCAGACAGGAGGGAGCTACTTAGATTTTTAACTGGATAGAAGGTGGAAAGGATTGCTTGGGTAGCAAGCTTGAGGACAGGTACTTCTCACTGATGTACTGCGTTTCCTCTTGGAAGCTGGAAGACAGGCCATGATAAGGAGTTCACTGAATGAATAAACGAGCGATTTTCTTCAGCCAGCCAAGTCTAGAGTTACCAACAGGTTGGAAGGAGTAACTGCATTCGAGGTAACAGCCCGGTGGGAAGCCGGTTGGGGCTGAAGCTTTAACGTTTAAAGGATGAGGCTGAGTGAGGGGAAATTTTGGCGTTCCTCTCACCACGGGGAGGGCAGCTGGTTCACTGAACAGGAGGGTTTTTTTCCAGAACCTCATGCTAGGGCTTTGATCTAGGCTCCCCCTTCCTCGACTAGTCCGTCTGCTTCCTCCGCCTAGGGCTCACGTCTAAGGTCTTGAGTCTCCTCGTCTCCACTGAGGACCAGCTGGAAGCCATTTTGATTATTCTTCACCACCGAAGGAGGACAATACAGCCCCGCCCAGAGCCAGGCGCGCCCCCGCGGCGGGC